TTAGTGTAGAAGAAAACACGTAATTGATTTGCCCCAAAACTGACTTACTAAAAGATTAATAGATCAATATTATATACAGACGTAGTATAAAATAAAGTCGCTATATGTGTCCATCGGTTTGTGAGCTTAGCCATTCTTATCCACACAAAGATTTTGATAAGATTTGTACTATAATTGTTCAGTGTAACAAGTTATTTTAATCCCAGTACATTAAGTGACTAACTACTGTGAGATATTTGTGCAAAAAAACGCTACACGCATGTAGTGAAGGACAAAGTGAGGCGAGACCCCCTTTCGCTGAGTTCACATTATTATTTACAGTTATATAATACTAGCGACTCACCCTCGCTTCGCTCGGGTTCGTCCCTAGCTTGTTTCCCCATACATACTTTCATCCCCATTTTCATCCCCTTAAGGGATGATTCCGGGATAAAAATATGTATATAAATATACGGATAAAAATATAAAAATAGGTAATATATAGATTTCCGGGATAAATATATCCTGTCCTTCCCAGGGTCTCAAAGTATATTTCATCTAAATCTGTTTAGTAGATACAGAGATTACCCCCTACAACGTCACAAACTCACAATTCACAAACTCATAATATTAGTATAGATAGATTGACGTATAATATCAGTATTGTATATGATAAAAAACCATCTTATTGAAATATCACTCAATAGATTACGATACGGTCGCGGTTCCATACATACGAATATGTTGTATTATCTCTTTAACCATTTGTCCAAATAATATGCAGTAAAAGGGAAAAGTCTTTTGTTGTAAATATTTTAGACGATAAATTTACTTATTTTACTCTTTTACCTACCCTTTTCATCCCTACAGTGGTTGAAATCTAAAAATTCCTTATTTACTGAATATCCTGATTTCAGCTAACAGTTCTAGGCGGTTTGGTCAGTTGAACAGTTTTAAATCAGTCAACTCCTTTTTTATTCAATGTTGGGAAATGCATTTACGCATACATACAGGTGATTATATGGGACTAACCGGCTAGAAAAGCCAGTACTACCTACTAAAACCCAACAGAACTTCCCCCGTCTTATTCCACTCTGCCGTCGGAGAAGTACCAAGAGCAACCCGCATGGTACACAGTTTTCCCCTGTGCGTGTGTGTTTCGTGTGTGTTTCTTGGCTTCGCGCCCGGCTGGGTTGCCAGACGCTAATGAGACCCTCCCCCCTTCCCCCCACCATGACAAGGTGAACACAGATCGGGGGTAAAATCAATCAAAGCGTACCTCAACCTCGCGAGCCATACCGGTGCCGTAAGTCCTATGGGAATTTTACAAACTTTTCTAAATCAGATTTGTATATTTATAAATGTATAAACATCCCTATATCGTTCTCTAAACACTTCGATCGATCATTCGGTACATTGAACATGCTTAGTTTGTTCGGTAACTAAAAAAAAGAGTTGAATTTTCTTAGAATTACTTGTAACAACATTATATAAGGAATTAGCTGATGATGATAGCTGAGTTACGCAGTTGAAAACCTGCTTGCCTATCTTTACCTAAGAATCAATTACCAAACATGTTTGATTCTTTGAGATGGTTTATATTTTTATTAAAAACGTACTTTTCGCCAAGGGTTATGGAAGGAAATCGTGAGACTAGAAACAACTTTTCCATCTTCACAATCCAATGAAGCTCCACAGGTAAAGGTTCAGGTGCAGGACATGGCGTCAAACCCAAACCTGCTAATGAAATTTCTTTTAAAATAGCTTTAGCAAAAATAGGGCTGGTATTGTGAAATAGATGTAACCAGTGGCATAGTCTTATATAATTAATGATATAGTTCATTTTCTATACACACAACATATATGTGTCTTTCGCGTCGAACTGAAGTGACAAATTGGCATAATTTTTTGTGTAGAGATATTTGGAGGCCTGGAGACTGACATGGACTACTTTTTATTGCTCGAGACTATATAATTCCCACGGGAAAATACGTTAAAATACAGCCCACAACAACTCATCAAATCTATGTGTATATTTAATATACAGCCTATTTATTCCATACTAACCGTTAAAACGTACCGAGGAACGAACCCGAGCAAAGAGAGGGGGAGTCACAATCACTAGTAACCGATAAATAAGCATTTTTTTATACATAAAAGTTTTATTACTATCACAACAAGTAATTATTGCTTGATGAATGAAATTCGATATGAACATAACAAACAATCATGAATCCTAGAAACACATGGTGTATTTTCCTTAGGCGCATCCACCATGTGAGGTATAGGGAAATAAACCTTTTGTCCAGTAATTGTTTAAATAACTGAAATGTTTTTGGGAAATTTATTATAAATGTTTTAACCCCAATTCAGGGATAAATTACCAAGTTTGCATGGAAAAGAAAAAGAATAGCATGGGATTCGATATTTTTGGGCTTTTGTTACTACCGATGGGATATCCTCTGAAGCTCTCTTCTTGTTTTCTAATAAGTAGCTTAGTTTTTACTAATAAGTACTTTATTTTAGTAAAAGGCACAAATATATGCATACTTTTATATGTATATGTTCTATATGTTACACATGCCTAGGTGGTTTAGTGGCTAGCATGTACGATTGCAAATTCGAAATTGGAGGTCCTGGGTTCGAGTCTCGGGTCGGGCCAAGATTAGTTAGTGAGTATTGGGAAGTTGACGGTGAAACACCCTCGTGCCTCGGAGAGCACCTAAAACCGTCAGTCCTGCGCCTAAACTCTCACTGGTTGTGTTGAGTAGTCGCTGGTGGGAACCAGAGAATGAGAGGAATAGAGAGTGCATTTGTGTCATTACATCTGTGCACTAAAATAGCAAAATCCTTCGCAGATGGTTAGTCTCAATGAGATTGGCCGCCGTGGCCAAAATCGGTCGGTAGCACATTATTGCCTATTATTATACGGTACATCAAGAAGTTTTTTATGATATGTGTTTCTTGTCTTCTTGCAAAAAGCTACAAACGGGTTACTAAAAAGGGAGTTGATTTAAGCTTGTTACATGATGGCTAAATTCACCACACATATAACATCAAAAAGTCAACCTATGTTAAACATGTACGTATGTATGTATGAAACGCGAGCTGTTTGAATAAGAAGCCTCATCCCTTTGTGTACTAATGGATGTTTATACATTGCATGCAGTATGAGAAGTATTTTATCCTATGCTGATAGGTGCGTCAAATTTCCTCTTTTGATGACGGTCTGTAGCAGACAGGTGTCGATTCGATTACCTTTTAGAGAAAATTCTTGTTGGTATAACCTTACCTTAGGTATGCGAACAGCTTACATAAAATAGTAAAAATAGAGATTTAGTTTTCTTTTTCCGAATGCGCCAGAAGATTGTATTTGGATTTTTTTTTCATATTAATGTTTAGATTAGTTAGCGATAGATATTTTCCCGCAGTAAAAAATATTCCACATGTTGACCCGGATAACGAGCTGTAATCATAATAAATTTCATCAAAATCTGTCTGACAGCCAGACAAAAAATCTAAAAATTATAGATTCGGCCTTTGTATCGATAACAATGACTATTTCAATAAAATTTTCCAAAAAATATTTTATATACAGATTCAGACTCAGAATTTTATTATATGTATAGACTAGTAGAATCCGCGGTTTTTCTCGCGCTAAAACTACAAATAAAATTTCTAAAAAGCTCGGTTTCATACAAACTTTCATTCCTTATTTTACCCTCTTAGGGATTGAATTTTGAAAAATCCTTCCTTAGTGGATGCTTTCGTCATATAAGGAATACGTATGCGAAGTCTTCAATTTTCTAGTCTTAAGGGTATGGCCTGTGCGTTCATACATCAATCAATCACTTTTGCCTTATATATATATATATATATATATATATATATATATATATATATACATATATATATATATATATATATATACATATATATATGTATGTATATATATAATATATATAGATTACGTTTTTGTTCATAAGAAATGGATTTAATTCAGATTTTCTTCATTTAGTCAAATATGTATACATGTAACAAAACCGTAGAGGTCGAATGTCTGTACATAGAAAGCAAATGCTAAAAACCGAGTCAGGGGGATGTAAGAAGAGAAATAGTAAAAATCCAGTTTTTTTTGTTTCTCTGTTTGTAGGGGCTAATCTTCAAAATTGTTGGACCGATTGAAATGAAATTTTTCATAGTGGTACTTTATATACCCCGTTAACATTTCGAGAACTTGCTAGGTTCATTTAGACATGCTGGTTTCCTCACGATGTTTTTCTTCACCATAAAACCTTAGTATCTTTTACTAAATAACCTATTTCGAGTTATTTTAAAATTGAATGCTATTAGTATCGTAACTTATCTCAAACCTACTTATTATTTCGTTTTTTCTGCTATTCATTCTTTTTAAATAAATAAATATACACAAGAGATTTTATTTTGATTATTTATCTTAGCCCCGCTGTTATGATATTTAGCACAAAATTTTCTTTCAAAACATATGTAGATATTATTTATATACATTTACATGACATTATTGTTATATATACGTGTAAGGGTCGTGATAAAAATGCATGTAACATACATATATTATTGAATAATTTTAATAGAAATAATTTTTTAAGGAATTTTTTGGAGCATAATATTATAACGAAATTGACTTAAAAAAATATTTTTGATAATACAATTGTGTATACTGTATATAGTATATTTAACAAGTGCTATATGTATATAGCATGTTCATGTAGGTGAGCATACATGAGTGTAGGGTGCTGCGGGAGGCGCGTAGAGGGGGCACTCTCGAAATAACTTTGTATTTCGGTAATACGCCACCCCGCGCCGCGCTACTCCGGCGCAGCTCGACTGTTGCCACTTGCCGCACTATCCGCTAACTATTCGCAATCGACCGACGTCTTACTCGTTGGTATTGGGTTATAATGACTTGAACTAAATGAGCCCGTGAAGTTACAGTGTACATAAGGACTTATAACGTCGTGTGAGAGTTTTTTTTGTGTAAAATGGAGAAGTCCCGGTGGGAACGTTCGGAACGTTCGGAGAGACGGGAACACGTCGTCCAACAGGAACATGTCCAGCGAACTGAACATTACACCCAGATGCTCACACAGCAAGGTCAGTTAACTAACATTTTTAAATTAATTAAGTTAAATAAGTTGCTATCGCGATATGTGACATGTTATTTAAAGCAAGTAACTTTAGACGAAGTCATTTCGCTGAGTTTTCCCAGCGAGATGGCGCGTCTATTTTCGGGATGCGTGGGCTGGACCGGGACTCAGGAATGCTCAACTGTTATTTTTCACACTTGTTATTTTATATAATGATCTCACTATCGGTTAGCGAATTGTTTTATGGACAGAGCGACGTGCGAGTAAATCCGATACGTCTCTCCGTTAAGGCAGCGCGAATGAATAACTTGTTTACTTTTAAGGTGCAAAACCGTATATGGACGAAGGCATAAGTATTTAATGCCATTGGAGGGTTAAATTTTAAAGGAGGTCAATTATGTTCTCGACCGATATTTAATATTGTTGAATAATTACATAGTATTTTATTTATTGTTGTTGGTTATATTTATTTAAGTACTAGCGGCTCACCCTCGCTTCGCTCGGGTTCGTCGCTAGGTACGTTTTAAATAGATATAAAAAGAAAAAATCTTTCTTTCTCACATTTTAATTATATGTTTTAATACTTACCTATTCCGGACTAAGAGAAATCCAAAAATTAAAATATCATAAAAATTGGAACGCGGTCGAACGGGATAAAAAGTATCCTATGTCCTTCTCCTGGCTCTAAACTACCTCCCTGCCAATTTTCAGCTAAATCGGTTCAGCCGTTCTTGAGTTATAAGCGAAGTAACTAACACGACTTTCTTTTATATATATAGATTTTCAGATTGAAACAATTTGAAAATATTTAAATAAATTCAGTTGTTTTGCGGAAATATGAGATGGGTTTGAATTTAGTTGCATGTGGCGTTAAAAAAACATAAACAAACGAGAGGAGTGTGGATAAGATATATTTATTACTTATCGAAATTAATTTTATTTTATGTTGCTTTAAAATATTATTGAATCTTATTTTTTAAGATTTTGTTAACCTTAAATTCAATTGAATATATTAAAATAATTACAAAAAAAAATTGAATTCCCCGAAAATAAAACTTGAGAAATTTCTAATATAATAAACAAAAAAAATGGAGCAAAACGAGTTTTTTGACAAAAATAATGTATCACATTCATATTACCAAAAACAGTAATTTAAAATAAAATCAATTAATTCAAATAGCCAATGGCCAGATTTTATGAGACCACCTACTAAGGACTTTGCATGGGATATATTATGTATATAGAGCTAACCTGACATACTAAAAGTACCTCTCGCTCAGTGGGTGAAATTCAACCGTAAGCATTATTGGAAATTTAAGGAAATCGTATATATATATATATATATATATATATATATATATATATATATATATATATGAAGCTTGGCAATAGCTACTAAACAAAAAAAAAAAACAAATCGGTTGACAAACAGAAGAGAAAAAGATACTAAACTGTTTGGTCTTTGCCTATTTATACATATATTAAATAAATATATAATATATGCAAGTACGTATGTATGTATGTACATTCATACTATTTGTAACTTTAAATTTTAATTTTTCGATGTACCTTTCTCAAACATGACAAGATAATTGAAGATGATAAACTAAAATAATTAATATTTATACATACTATACTACATATACATATTTATGTACAGAGCATGAGTTGGAATTCAAATATGATTTTATCAGTCAATATTTTTTAGTTATAACATTTTATAACTACGCTTCGTTAATTACTTAACATATTTTGTATGCAAAAATTCGGTGTAAGTGTGTTCGAGATTCTTCTCCTAAACAGCTTGACTAATTTTGATTAAATTTGAGGTCACTTGGATAGTTCTTAGTTTTAGTTAGACCCGGAGGCTGTTGTCGAGATTCAGATTTGTTTTTAATTTTTTAACCAAACGAGATCTATGGCTGGACGTCTGCCTATCGAGTCCTCTAGTTTCAATATGGGATAATGAAATTCCAAAGGAACTACTTGATGTATGATATAAAACCTTTCAATTAAAAACGATATGTCGGCTTCAGTAATCATTTTGAAAGTATTTATTCCGCCCTTAGAGAAACATACTCGTAAATAAAAAAAAACTCTGAATTGATTATATTTTTGACATCTCATCTTTTTTGAAGCCTGTCATATTCTATATCATTATCCGGGCCATGAACTATCTCGAGATGTCTTGATTAATTGAAAGATACAGGCAAAGAACAGGGAATGTTTTGATGAATAGATTATAAGAAAAAAAGCAAGTTAAAGTTTAGAAGAATAATATTTTTATTGAGACCAAAGAATGCAGTAAGTTTTTAGGGTATTTCTTCGAGATTGCGTTCTTCATCTGATTAATCTGGCCAAAAATTATTTTTATTTTTGGCTCTATTCAACATACTCTTATGATTAAAGACATGCCAGATATTATTTGGCAATCTCGAAGAAATACCCTATACTAAGTAGATTTTTGGAAAATCCTCTTCCTTTAGCAATATGTCATGGACATTGCCATTTATTTTCGCTTTGGGCATAGATAAAAATGTATTTTTAGCGACATTTGACAGTTGAAAATTTGTAAAAACCAGCGGTTGGGAATGCTAATACCATAGACATAGATTCGTTACCAGTACAAAACAAAAAAAAAACAAAAATTATGATATCCCTGTTTTTTGCTTGTACCCTCCAATTGCAGTTTTAAAGAAGCACAAATCCAATTGCAGTTTTAATGGAATACAATAATTATTTTTAATAATTTATTAGTAAAAAAATTATAAATATTTCTAATGTGCTAATAGAAACTGCTAATTCAAATCATTTTTTGAAAATTATTCAAAAGCACCAAAGAAAACAGAATAATTTATCATACAACTTACGCTTCGCTTCGTTTGACATCCCTAAGAACCTAACAGTACCTACATAACCTATAAGTCACTCCAGGTCATAATCTATCTGTGTACTAAATACCATCCAAATCTGTTAAGTCGTTCAGCGTGTAGTGTAAGAGTAACAAACAAACTTACAAAGAAACTTTCGCTCTTATATTAGCAGTCGATATCGTTTATGCAACAACAACACTGAATACCAGTTGTTCAAACTGACAATAAATGTTAGCATTTCAATTGGAAGGAATAAAAACTGTAAACACTGCGTGACTCAGATCCATAACTTGAATAGTGAATGTATCGGTTATGATAAAAACTTGCTATTTTATAAACATCGAGAGTGATTTTTGATGGTGTAACAAGAGTAAAAAGTAAAGAAGTTACGTAAATAATAATCTATACATATAATAAAATTCTGAGTCGAATCTGTATATTAAATATTTTTTGGAAAATCTTATTGAAATAGTATATATATTATTAATACAGAGGCTGAATCTATAGTTTTTAAAATGTTTATATGTCTCTCTGTGTGACCGCATCACAGACAGACAGACATTTCTTTTAAATATGAGATGTCAAATAAATAAAAATTAACTCATAAACTCTAATATATTACCAACAACTTCAAAAATACTTCAAAAGTGAATTATTTTACGCTGGATTTTTCTCGTAATATTATATGGGGTCGCGCTCGATGTACCGTTAGCCTATAGATTACAAAAACACCATGAAAATCGGGTTTGCAATTGGGAAACATAATATCGTGTGAGATACACAAAATTACTCTCGGGACGTAGATACCTGCTAGGTTTTAGAAGAAAACTTTTTTTTTAGTCAAGTTATTTCAGTACATGCATCATTCAGATGCTACTTGAAGCATTAAGATGTGATACATTTTGGGTTGTTTTTTTTACATATTATGACACCATTATTTAGCTATAGGTAATAAAATTTGTCAAAGTAACTACTCAAAGACTTAGAAAATATATTTTCACCTAAATAAATTATAAATCTAATCTAGCAGACCCGGCCACGTGTAGCTGTGGCACATGTATGAAAATCGATAATTTTGGAATAAAAAAAAGAAAATAATCGGGAAAAAACTATCCTGTCTTTTAAGATGGAATAAATTACACATTATATAAAAAAATACGTTAAGATCGGATAAGTAGTTTCGGATTTCTTCGCGGACCAACATCGTGACTCGGGAATTTTATATATAACTTAGTGGCTCACCATCGCTTCGCTCGGTTTCGCCTCTAGAAAAACAACAACAAACAAAAACAAATCTATTCCACGGGAACCGTACATTTTCCGGGATAAAAAGTAGCCTATATGTTTTTCTGATGAGCTATATTATTGTAAAGTTTCATTAAATTTCATTCTATAGTTATTGCGTGAAAGAGTAACAAACATCCACACATCTATACATCCATACATCCTTACAAACTTTCACATTTATAATGTTAATAGGAAAATATAATTTACTTTTCAACATTGTAATATTTTTTGTTAAATTGAAGCGTATAACAAAGTTACATTCAATAAAGTTTAATGAAGCGAAATAATAAAATTGTATGTAACATCGAGCGGCGTGCGCAGGCGCATTGTTTTTGTCATCTAATTAACAGTTTTCTATTTCTATGGTGGGAAAGTAAGAATAAAGACGATGGAAAACAGAAAATTGGTTGTCTCGATTGTGGAGAAATTATCGTAAATACATATACAAATGCACGTTTCACTTATTTTTATTTTGACAACCTGTATTCAACTTACGAGTATATATATCAAAATTTTTTGCACGTCTAGCTTTCCATACAAACGTCTGCAGATCAAATAAAAAATTTGAGTAAGTATCATAAAATTAGAAATTACCATTTCTTTTTAACTTATATCTTAATTTTAAATATAAGTTTTGCCAAAATGAAATTTAATTACCATATTTTTATAATAAATAGATAAAGTACCGTAACGTAATTGAAGTTAATAATACTTTTTATGCTAAAGTTTTTCAGTAAAGCGTTTTAACACACATAAAATCAACACTATGGTAAATGACCTGTTCAAACTTACACGAATCATCTTAACGTGCAATCAAATAAAACTAGGATATCTTTGAAGGAATCAA